ATAACTTTTTGACTCTAAATATCCCATTACTCTTATCAGTGTGGTTAACTAATTTCATATGTTAAAAACAAATATAAAATGAGTTTTAGAACATTAAAGTGATCTTTAATGAGTTTAAAAATCTTAGGACAGAAGGCTTGTGGTATAGCTCAGTGGTAGAGTACATGATTAGCATGCCTCAGCACCAAAAATCACAATAAAATAAAATTTTAAGACAGAATCAATAGTCAAATTTCTCTTGCAGATTTCTAATGGCACAAATTTGCTTAAATGCCTAAGCAATATATTTATTAGTCCTAAAGTTAACATTTATGTTTTGAGAGTATGGTTTTATTTACATGATTCTTTTACTATTTCATTTTAAACCTTCCCAGTTGGTTGGGGTTGGTGGTGATTAGGGAATATTTTCATCATCTCAAATGAGTTGAACACTCTACAGTGTCCCTTCAGAGACAGACTGCTGGTTCTTCATAGATTTAGACAAGAACTCAGGTCTGGGAGAAATATATGTCCAGGACAATTGGCCCTGAGCTATTATTACCCCTAAGAACTGGCTTTACAACTGTCTCCTGAGTGGATGTTGGAAACTTACAGAAGCACTTCATCTGATTTAGAAAAATGAAATCTGTAGCTCTTCCTCTGGTTGCAATCATCTTTCTTTAATTAATTTCCTTTACAGTCTGCTTGAATTCTGTGTTCCTTTAATAATTCTTTTGTTTTGTAAACTCTAATGATATATTGGGGGTGAGGGGGTACAAAGGATTTAACCCAGAGGTGCTTTACTCCTGAGCCACATCCCCAGCACCTTTATTATTTTTTTTAAATGATACAATATGGGTTTTGTTGTTGTTTGACACAATACATTGATTGATTAATTGATTGGTTTTTATATAGTGCTGAGGATTGAACCCAGTGCTTCTCACAGGCTAGGCAAGCACTCTACCACTGAGTTACAACCCCAGCCCCACTGTGGGATTCTTAACTGAGCAATTTAATTTGGGGATGCCAGCCCCAGGATAAATTGTTTTCAAAATTGTATAGATGAGTTAATTTCTCTATGTTTTTTAGCTATAAACCATTTAAATGCCAGTGAGTGCTACACCCCATGTGACACCTTTGGATTGGGAAGACTGAATATGAAGCCATTGTTTCTTCTGGTTCCTAACAATAAAATAATCAGTGGTATAGCAGTGACTTGTGGATCTGTTTCCAAAAATGATCATAAGCCATTAATATACAGCTTAAAGAAAAGCATAGGGAAGTACAGAACACATTTTTGTTTTGATCCTATCGAAATTATTTTTAAATTCATCAGGAATTCATTTCTACCAATCTTGATTTTTTTTTTAGGGGTAGTGGGAGAAAGAAAAAAAGAAGAAGAAAGTGTTAAAAAAGGAAAGAAGGGTAGAAGCAAAAAAGGAAGGAAAGACAGATTTTGTATTAGTAATAATTAGGAAGATTTTCTCAACAAGGTGAAACAGATGGAGTGGTCAAAATAAAATCTGCTACCAAATCTTTTCTGCTCCTTTATAGGCCCAGTAGTTCAATTTATCCAGGAAGAAACTGGTATTCATTCTCAAAAGTATATGTTGGTAGACTGATAGGTTTCTAGTTTTAAAGTAATATAGTGTTTCTTTTTTTATTTTATTTTTTGGTACTGGGGATCAAGCTAAGGGCACTTTACCACTGAGCTACATTCCCAGTCCTGTTTATTTTTTATTTTAAGATAGGATCTCACTAAGTTGCTGAGGGTCTTGCTGAATTGCTCAAGTTGACCTGGAACTTGCAGTTCTCCTGCCTCAGCCTTCTGCATTGCTGAAATTACAGCATACGCCAACAAACCCAGCTATGTTTCTTTTTTTAAAATGAGAATTCCATTTCTGTAGGTCCAACCAAATGGAAGCATGCCTCTGTTCAGTTCATCTGGGTGCCAGGAAGCACACAATGCTCCATTGGTCATGGAGTTTTAAAGTCACAGATAAAAAAATGAGGGAGTTAGGAGACAGCCTCACAGCCAGGCCTCATGTAAAACACTCTTCAGAGTATCCCAAATATGGTGGCATGCAGTTATGGAGACAGTGGTTAACTCCTTGGAAGTGGTCTTTCAACCATTTCTACTTGCTTGTCTTCTATTACCTTGGTGTATGAAGTGACATAAGAAAGCTTCTGGGTATCAGCAGAGGCTGGGGTTTCATGACCTTGCTCACCACAGGGTATAAGAACAACATGGCCACAGGACCTGTCTTAATTGCTGGATATTACAAGTCCACATGGGATTATTCATCTTAAATATTTTCCTGTTAGAGATAATTTTATGAAAGTGTTTACTTAGATGTAGCCTTCAGATTTTTTTTCTTCCTAATGTTGTCCTGCCAGGATCTGTACTATCAAAAGTCCTTTTCAAATAAAGCGAAAGAATAACACTTCAGGAACAATATTCTTATTTCTTGCCTATTTTTTTTAAAAGGAAGTGGTGGTGGCCTAAATGCATTGTTACAAAGACATTCACTTGGAAGTAGGATGAGATTATCATGCTGCTGTTAATTATGGCCTCTTTATAAACTTTAAATTATAGCCATTTATTTAAGCACTACCAAAATTTATTGGATAACAGAAAGTTATCTAGCTATGGTGTTCAGCCTCTTTTTAAAATTCCCTTGATTCAGAAACTGATAGCCAGAAGTGATTATGATCTTAAGGTCCAGTTTTCCTCAGATATGCCCAATTACAAGAGTGGGACTGCAAGAGGACATATTTTTAGATATGTATACAGAGTATTTTTAACATTTTTAATGGAATGTGGGATCTACGCTAAAAGACAATCTTAGATGTTAAATTATGACCGGATAGATAGAACTGCAGAGAGATTTACCTCCCCAGAAGTATGTGGTGACATCTTAGGAGATGAGGGAGCAGGAGGAATGAGATGATGGAGCTCCATACAGGCACTGCCAGGGCTGTAAAATTGGAGTCACTTGCCTTATCTTCAACTTAGAATCAAATATTTACATTCCAAAAACTAAGAACCCAAGGTCCTTCCCAAATTGAATTCAAGGATATTAAGATGTAAGATTCCCCCCACCTCTCTCAGAAGGGTTGGGAGACAGTTCTCCCTTTCTTCTGTAACCTAGATTTAGAAGTTCCCCAACTACAGTGAAGACCAAGGTTGGAATGGCATCTAATTTTCATGGTGTCACGTGGAAGGGGGAAATTCCAGCATCGGGAACCAGTACAACCATTTTCTATCAGAAAAAATAAAATGCTTTTCTCCCTCTTCACAAATAATTATATTTGCATTCTGGATAGTATGAATAAAGTATTAAAAACTTTGAATCAGATCAAACTGGTTAAAATACAGAATCCAGGTTGACTCCTCTGCTGTCCTCCTCCAGTACTAATTCATTGTCTGGGTGCCCAAGATCTGAATGGAAACAGCTGCACCAGATGGTTCTTATCAGACTTGTCCATGGCCAACGGATTAAAAAATGCTTCTTACAGACCAGTCTGCCTCTGCTCGCATGCTTCTTGAGTTCACTCCTGTGTCTTATGACATAAGTATTTAGATTTAAGGATACTTTTTTTTTAAGTTTAGACTTGAGGATGAATTTGATGTTTGATACATCTCTATTGATATTTATCTATTATCCTTGAAGACTTCCTACTCCCATTTTTAAATATTCTATTTAAAACATCAGATCTTTTGAAATCTTTAATATGACCAACAATTTTGCTCACCCAACTGCTGATCTCAATGTTTTCCCAAAACCACATTGACTTCTCCATTATCTTTAGTTGTCATTCTTCTAATCACTTTATATTTGTATACTGCATTCCAATTTATAAAATGGTGTTTCAGTTATTGTCCCATTTGATTCTCACAGTATTTGGAAATAGCTAGAATTTTTAGGAGTTAAGCTATTTATGTCAATTTGAAATATATTTCAAAGTTTGTTTGAAATGAGATGTGAAAAGACTAAAATTCAGAATACATCTGAGACAGAAAGTTATCTAGCTATGGTGTTCAGCCTCTTTTAATTGAAGGAATCTGTTGTGATATTAACAGCTATCAGATAATAGACATTCCATGAAATAACACTTGGACATATTGAGGCAGACTCTCTTCCATGACGCATGTAAACTATTGTCTGTTCCTACTTTGGTTCCTGATAATTATTTTTCTCTTAACCAAAAGATAAATATAAATATGAAAGTAACTGCATTAAGGGTACTGTTTTCATACTGTGTTCCTTGAATGCCTTTAAATCCTTTAAATGTTAAAAAATAAACAGAAAATTTAATATTTTGATAGTTTTCAAAGCACTTTCACATATGCTTATTAATTCTTAACAACCACATATGAGAGACATAAAAATACACCTTTCATAGATGAGCAAATGGAGACCAAAAGAATGCCCAAGGCCACATACTCAGGAGGTGCAAGGCCTTGGACCTCCAAGGGGGGTACGAGGACATCAAGTCTTGTCTTGATCCTTTGAAGAAACACCAAGATGATGAAAAGCCAGTAGTGCTCAAAGTATCACAAGCCCTGAAGTGTTCAAATTATTTAAATGTATCATTTTCTAAAATGTTAGATTCTTGAGAACACAAGTCCTGAGCAAGGCCAGAAGGGTGCTATTTGAGAGCTGCTGTGAGGCACTGATGTACCTACCAGGTAAAGGAGCTGCTGTGATGGCCGGCCCAAGAGCAGTGCCTTCAGGCCCGCCTCCTGGTCTTAGTTCATCCTCATGCACTTAGAGATTCATTTCAAAAAATTCATTTCAAAAAAATAGCAGTGCAAGAGCTTTGATTATTGTCATAGACTCCACTTAGATGCAAAAAAAGTAACTATTAAGGTTAGTGTTACAGCACAAAATTTTACTCTGCTGAGTAGAACAGTTTCTCAAGCAGTTACTACTGAAGCTATTGAGAGTCCTTTCAAAATTTGCTTCAGGAAGCCTTTTGCCTTTCTTTGTCTAACATCCATTCTTTTCACAAAACAGGATCTTCAGAGGCAGGCTGGAAAACTGGAAAGCCAAGCCGCCCTCCGCAGCTCAGGCCTCCACCCGCTCCCCTTGCATGCCTTTCTCCTGGTTTAATGAAAGCCGGAAAGGATCCTATTCCTTCAGGAACCTGCCTTCACCTACAAGTCCCCTTCAGCCTCCTCCTGAGACTCTAATTTCAGATAAAACGGGGTCTAAGGTAGAAAACACATGGATTGAAAAAGCAAACAAGAAAAACCCAAACCCCTTCTTCTGTTCAGTCTTTGGAAGGCGTCCTCAACCTGTGTGTGCTCTGGATCCGAGGAACCGTGTGGTAACACAGCCACAAGCAACGTGTGGTGTTTCTTGTGTGAGGAAGAGAAAGCCTCACTTAACCATCACCTGCTTTAACACTGTTCCATTCTAGAGTGTACATTTCTCTTTGGTTTGCCTGTCTTTTCACGTACTGCTATTTAATCTGAGTTTGACAGTTAAGCCATGCTGGGAAAAGATACATTCAAATCATGAAACAGTATGATAGATCTGTTTACTGAGTAATCTAAATTACATTATAAAACTATTTTGCTATGCTCTTCAAGATTTACTGGAAAACCGATAAATTCGGGACTGAATATGTGTTTGATACATCTGAGTGAAACTCCTTAAAACAAACCAGTGCTGACTTGGCACCATACTTCTTCCTCCTTTTCATATCAAATTTCCATGCTGAACAGCTGTTGTAATTTTGTCACCAGAGTTCTTTAACTTTCACAGAATTAGGAATTATATGCATGGGTGTGATTTGTTTTTAAATGCATGATGGTTATTTCCAGCATGACACTGCAAACCTTATCTAACATTTTATTGAAACACGTATATATATGGTGGCTAACTTTCACATGTCATTTGGTCTCCTTTTTTCTATGTTCACCTTTCTTTCTCAAACAGATACGTGTAATTAATGTTACTTGAATTTAATTCTTTCCTTGAGGTTAACAGCTCAAAGGGTTTTGACTGGGGCCTGAGTTTGTGTCTCCATTGACAATACCAGATGGTGACGTTCTGTGTTAAAACACCCTGCTGCTTAAATGTTCTACTGACCGAGCTCCATGTGCTCTGATTTAAACTTCTTTTCTGAAGTTTTAGCAAATCTTGGAATTAGTTTGGCACTCAGTATCCTAGCCTCTGATGTAGTGTTTATTCTGGATAATCAACTTAACCCAATACAAGGGAACCTAATGGAAAACTAACAGTCTAAGTTCTAATGAAGTAGAACATGAAACTAGATGGTTGTTGGCCAAGTTGCACAGAGTTCCTGGGAATCGGGCCATTCTGCTCGCATTAGCAAAAGTTTTGACATCTGGGCCTTTTACTATTGAATCTGAGGCATTTAAACGTTGTTTGAGTAATTCTACCATCATCATGTACTGAGGAAGTCTCCAGATTTGGTTTAAAATGTTTTCATGAATGCAGCTAGGTAGCCATTGTTAAGTTTCATTATAATATTCTCTGAACATGTTAATGATGTTCCAGGGAAGTCTTGTTTACATATTCTACCTCCCCAGCCCCAGCTGATTTCCAGCCCCATGTGTCTGTTCTGTGCCCAGCCTCTTTGGTTGTCTGCTGGTGCCATGAGAGTTTCATTCCAGCATGGAACATGCAGAGTGTTGTCAGACTGTGTCCTCCCCCAGAACTTATCATCTTGAAGGGTACCTCCAGGAGAGAATCTGCCACTTCTCACAGTATTTATCACAGACAGCCGCATGTACTCCTTCCCAGGGGTGCTCCAGCTACCTTCCTGATAGGAATCACCATCTGTTCCTAATAACTCAGCCTCTCCACACCATCTTGTATTTTTACTTACACTGTTACTCATCACGATTAGGGTCAAAGAAGATAGGCTTATTAATATTACTCCTCTGAGCAGTAGCAGAGGATAATGAATTCTGTACCCTTGGAGAGAGATTGAAGAATCATCTCTCTAAAACACCTCTCCTTTCATCAGATGGAGAAAGCACCAGAATTCTCAATTAGGCACAAAAGACACAGCATTCTCAACCACTGGCCAGTTGAAGGTCATTACCAAACCCAGTATGAGTTTCTTCTGAGATGGCTTATAAAGAACCTCTGAGAACTTGGAAACACACCTGCCTCTGGTTCACTTGTTGTGCCCCTTTAACACTGAGCTTCCTTTGTTTTTCCAGAATTTTACCTTCAACGATGACTTCAGTCCCAGCAGTACCAGTTCTGCAGACCTGAGTGGCTTAGGAGCAGAACCCAAAACACCAGGGCTCTCTCAGTCCTTAGCACTGTCATCAGATGAGGTACTATAGTGACACTATGATCAGACAGTTGTCTCATAAAATATACTGGGAAAATGGTTTTTAGGATAATTTATTGCATAGAAACCAGCAGGATCGTGGCTTTGTATTTATATAAAGTCTTCGTGATTTCTCTCCCTCTCTCTCATCAAGAGAGTACTGTGTTGATTTCAGGGTCACTTGCAGTGGGGAGGCTGGGACCTGGAGAGCAAAAACAGCTCCGCTCCTAGGGGGGGTCACAAATTGTCCATTCCCTTTTTCCCTTGCCTCTACCATGGTCACACCAAAATTCTGCTGTTCCTTCTCATGTGGATCCTGATGGAATCATTGCAATAGTTCTGACAAGAAAGGAAAATAGGGTGAGAACCACTTACTTAGAAGCAAGGGTCATGGTGAGCATTGCCAAGAATTATTAGGAGATAAATGTTTATAAGAGAGGCAGGAAATTATATTAAGGATTTGGTTCCCCAAAAGGGGTGGAGGTGGGCAGGCAGACACAACATAAGTAAAGACATTTTTCCTCTTATTTAAATATTCATGCTTATTTCTTTCTAACATGATTTTTGTTTTGTAAAACTTCTGTTCCCTGTAAACTTTTCTGCCTGTATTCTTCAAGCCTGGCATGATTTTAAGTTTATTAAAACTGTGTACTGTTGATGTTTTATGTCCTGTTTCTATAACCCTTTTCTTCTTGATTCCTTTGTTGCCCCTCACTCAGAGCCTGGATATGATAGATGACGAGGTGAGCTGTCAGTGGGCTGTGTGGTGCCTTACGTGGTAGTGTTTGAACCTGCTTTTTTATCCTTACGAATTATTTAAATCAAACAATACAAGAACAATTTCCTCCATAGTAGAGAGTTTCCTTGTCTTAAATAACTTTGTTCCCTGCCCTTGTCTATATCTTAGCCAAAAGATGTTCCTGAATCAAGAGGTTCTAATTCCCCCCTCCAAGTCCCTCTATGTATCTCCTATTCCCATTACCTTGACTCCTTTCATTCTTTAACATCTCCTCTGCCTTCATCTCAGCTTACCCCATCCCCTCCTCTGTGTTCCTCATGTGGGTCACCAAGGTGACTCCTGTCTTTCCTCTGAAGCCTTCCATTGCCTTCATCTCCTTTCAGCTTAGCAGTTGTAGGAAGCAATCTGCCCCTTTACACTATGAAAAGCAATATTATACAGAGCCTATATTTTTTTAACAAACCAGTTACTGTTGTGCTCTGCTCCTTACTGTGTAATCTGGGACAAATCATAAAGACTTTCTGAGCCTCAGTTTCCTCGTGTATTGAAAGTAATTGTAGATATTATCTGCCCCACCTTCCTCTCAAGTCTGCTTGCTGCTCAGTGAAATAATAGTTGGAAAGTTTCCCATAAGAAAGCTTGAGGGGTTAATGCTCTCCTCTTCCAAGTGAAAGATACCTCAATATTTTGAATGTGTTTTTATAAAACTTTAATGTCTTATCAGAGGATAAACGCAGAGTGATGAATTGCATGTAGAGATTTATGAAATATTTGTTTTCTACATCTGCTATTTCCAGAGTGTTTTGATATAAAAGCTTGCAACATTAGAGTGTATTTTTTTTCAATATTAAACTTCCTACATTAATAATGTGCTTTATTTGGGGGAATTTTTTTAAATTTCCATAGACCTAAAACCACATAAGTAATAAGCATATTTCTTTTTAACAATATTAGAAACATTATCATTTTGTGGTTTAAAAATAAATGCGGCTCTAGCAGGTTAAGAAATTCCTTTTGATAGCATAATAGGAACCATAGCATTTTGGTCCTTTAACAACACTGCAACATTCCTATCTCAGATCCTTGATGATGGACAGTCTCCCAAACACAGTCAGTATCAGAGTCGGGCCGTTCATGAATGGAGTGTGCAGCAGGTTTCTCACTGGTTAATGAGCCTAAATCTGGAGCAGTATGTCTCTGAATTCAGTGCCCAAAACATCACTGGAGAGCAGCTCCTGCAGTTGGATGGAAATAAACTTAAGGTAAAGAATTATTTGTCTGTGTTAGGTTACAGGTATGATTTGTACTACTTGTAGCACCTAAAATGTTTTCATTAGCCCAGAGCCTTCTGCATATTGGAGAGACAATTTCCCTCAACAGTCAGTAGAAAGGATGATGAATTATTTCTGAGTTGGAAACAAAGTTTCAGAAAGTCCATCATGGGTTCTGAAATGAGTGGTAGGCTGCTCAGGAGTGCTAGGGACCCACTCCATTGCTTCACGTGGCAACACATGGCCCATTTATTAACTCTGCTTACTTCCTATGTAGTATGAGTTTTAATAATGGCCACTGTGGACTTTCATCATATTGAAGTTAAGACCCTGATCCATGAATCTTCCTCTCCTTGTTCATTTCTCCTCCACACTCCCTCTTCCCTACATGACACTCTAAAACTGGGATGATGTTCTCCCCAGAACTTTCTTCCTTAAATATATGCAGGCTGTGTCTTCCCTCCACCTGGATCACACTCTCTTTTTCACTAGGAGTCTGGTCCATCTCAGGGACTGAGGTGGCACCCACTCCTGTGGAAAAGGGACAAAAAAGAGCATACAACCAGCTCCATACACCCTCTGCCCACTGCCCCAGCCCCCTGCTAGGCTGACCAATAGATGAGTAGCTCTTGACAATCTTGAAAAGGTTAGAGATCAATCAATAGCTTGTGAATATGAAGGCCCCCTTGACAAGGCTGTCCCTGTTGGGGAGATGGATGCATCCTGCTGTTGATGCTGAAGGTCATGAAATATTTAAAGTATGCAACCAACTCCCCTTATTCTGAATTCTAGGCTTACCGAGCAACCTCATTACAATCAGGCTTCCCTTGCAGGTCTGCCCACGGGGAAAGAATGGCTGGTTATGCTGATATGAGCATTCTGGCCCCAAAGACATTTTTGGTTTTCCTTGTAAATGACTACACTGGCAGAAAGGAAACCATTTCAGTTTTCTCTGTCCTTCTTGGAGCCCTCTGTGACAGCCGGTGCCCATGTTTACCCTTTGAAATACTTTAGCAATACTTTTGCCTATAAATGTTTATAGCACAAAGGTTGGAGAAGAAGGATTGTATCTTTTTTTCATTTATTCACTCATTAAAAACCAATTGGAAAGCATTTTCTTAATGAGCTTTAGGGTGTACTTTGCAAGAGACTTCATAGAATAAAAGAACAACAAAAAAACACAAACCCCCAATGTACTCAAACTTTGAATAAATAATGTCAACTCTGACCTCTTCTATCCATGTTTCAATTACAAGTTTGAACATATTGTGATGTTATTTCTCATAAGAAGCAGAGCAGCCATCAGTTTTCCCATTCAGTTTGTGCACGTGTTTCCTTTGCAGGCTCTTGGAATGGCATCATCGCAGGATCGAGCTGTGGTTAAAAAAAAACTGAAGGAAATGAAGATGTCTCTAGAGAAGGCTCGGAAGGCCCAAGAGAAAATGGAAAAACAAAGAGAAAAGCTGAGGAGGAAGGAACAAGAGCAGATGCAGAGGAAGTCCAAAAAGTCGGAAAAAATGACATCAACCGCAACAGACGGCCCTGGTGAACAGTAGCACACCCTCCAGAGGGTGAGAATGCTCAAGAGAAGGCTTCCCTCTTCCTGCCCTGTTCTCCTCCAGAAAAAGAAACTGTTGATGGGGTAATGCTGCTGTAGACAGACTGAGGAAGCGTGTGTTGAATGACTGCATTTTCTGCAATAATAAAATGCACTCCTAATTTTAACCCCTGAAAGAACCCCAAACCATCTTTGGTTTGTTAACAAACCAGAGATCTCATTTGGGAGAGACACAAAGTAGTTGTGTTGCTCTCCTGTCCTACTTACCAACATCCTATGTTGTGTTGGGCGTGTTGTGTCACTGGAAAACCAGCATGACCCTGCCACGAGAACAGGACACCCCCCTGGTGTTCATGTAGCACTTGGAATTTTCAGTGTAGGATCCTGAAACTAGGCCCTTGCACGTATTTGTGTGGCAGAGAGCACCCTGCCAATGAGATCTAGGACACATATTTGCTTCTAGGGCTGCAGAGTCCAGTCTGATGTGTGGGAAGAGGTCCCCCTCCGTCCTGGGTCTGGGCAGAGAACAGCACCATTGTGGAAGCATGGGTGTTGTGCCACATAATTTTGTCCTAAGGGAAAGAGCAAGCACACAATCCTGCTTGCTGGGCATCAGAAAAAGTGAAGAGAATCATAGTTATTCGTTAACTATAGAAGAGAATAAAAGCCTTAAGAATGTGGTGTGGGTATACCTTGGGGTTTGAAGGTAACATTTATCCTCCAGATGTTGCTGAACAAAGAAGAAAAAAGTCAAACTTTAATGTAGCCTTGGGATGTTGGGATATGTTGTTTACTTTGCTACCACTGTAGGTTCAGTATTTCAGCAACACTGGCAAACACAACACAGTTCCTTTGTCCCACACACACAACAAATTGAACAGGAAATTGATTTTTAAGGAAACCAACATTTTCAGGTTTCCTCTCCTGGGGAACATTCTGGCTGGTCTTCAGCCTGCCTATGACACAGTCAGGAACTTGTCACATATTTTCTACTCAGAATTTCCCAAGTGGGCTCAGTTAGTGTTTTAACAAACTCACTTTTAAGGAAAATAGAAATATCAGTTAGAGAAAATTTAGATTTGAGTAACATTCAACCAGAGAACCAATTTTTTTGAGCACACAGAACGTTCCTATAAAACAGAGCTGTCAGTTAGTTACATTTTAGAGATATTTTGAATGGTTTTTCTGAGCCATTCTCTACCATACTCCAGAGATTTCCACTTTACAGTTGAAGTTTGTTTAAGGCAGTACATAGGATACACTTTGGTAGTAGAAGAACTTATGCTTATTTTAAAGCCAGTATTAAGGACTTCAGTATTTCACCAAACTTAGTTGAGTGTAGGAGACTAGGGCAGAAAGAGGAGAAGATAAACTAATCGAGAAATTTCCAATGATGAGGGGGTTTTTTTGTATTTTGTTTTGCTTTTTATGCTTATGTATCTTGTTCTCTTTGCTGCTTTGGCTCCAAAAATGAGGTCATCCACTTTCCAATGGACAAGTTTCAAAGTACAACTTGAGGCCAGATAAATTTTAGATAAGTATTTTACCTCTTTTGTGACACTGGGTCTTGCTCTGTCCTCAGCGTTGTCCATGCTGAAGTGTTGTACATGCAGAGCATAGGAGATGGCTCTTGAGTATTACAGTAACAGTGTAAGGGGACTCCTGCCATATAGCCCCACCTAATATTGTTAACATTGTGAGATTTAACTTTTATTATTTTTAATATCCAAGTTCTGAAATTGTCTGAACTAGAAATGTATTGTCTTATTCTTTCCTCAAGGTCTGATTCCTTTTCTGCCACAGTATGGTCTGGTCTGCTAAGCTTCAGTGATTTTGTCACCAGGTACAGATCATACATTCATTCCTCAGAAACACTGATGTATAGTAGCTTTTACAGTTAGGAGAGGCACTGTTAGGTTTTTCTGTCTATCTTCATTTGGGATATGATAATGAAACTGCCATACTCAATACTTATTAATATCTAGAAATGTCTGGTGCTTCCTATTATTAACATCACAAGAAACCAGGAGCAACTATTAACGAACTACAAAATTCAGCAAATCTTTCCTCATACTGCTAGAGGATTAAATTAGTAAAAATCTGGTAATGCTTGTGCTTGCTATTGTAAATTTTTGCCATTTTCGCTTTCTTTGAAGAAAAAGTAACCTGGATCACACTGGAGGTTTCACTGTATTCAAGAGTGGTATGATTATTTTAAGTTATGTTTACACTTCAGTAATATTTGAAAATGAATGTATATATTGAAATGTCTATAAGTCTCTGTCTTTGCCCATAATTTATGATCTATTATATTGTATTTTCTTAAATGTCTTAGAAGTATTGTTCTTTATTATAGCTTTATTTGCATACTTCAGTGTTTAGATCAAAGTCATACTGATAATGTTAAAAATCAAATTCTTGTTCCTCAAATCATTTAATGTATATTATAACCGTTTTGATTTTTTAAGTTTAATTGTAGTAATTTTAGGTCTAAATGCATTGTTTTAATGTTACTACTTAAAACTGCTAAAATTGTAAAAGGAACTTGATTTGATTGCCCAACAATGAAATATAAACTGATTGATACAAGGGTATGAAAACAAAGTGAAGGACCTCAGATCTTGTGAGCATTTTGTTTTACTATTTTTTTTTTTACTATAGTGCATGGTGATTAATTGAGGTTCTGGTGTCTTGCACAATCTTCCTTTAATGCTAGTACTTTTCAGTGTTCATATACTTTAACACAAAATTGTTATTTTATGAACCTTAAAGACTTTGCAGGTTTTTTTTTTTTCCTTATCAGAAAATGAACAAAAAGGGATTATCTGGTTACCGTGTACTATATTTTAGTAAGGGACAGCTCAGTATGACTCTAACTATAGCCAGAAGTGTTTTGGGGTATGGGTGATGTTTTGGAGGGAGGGGGTATAAATAGTGAGCCTAAGCAGTAGGTAACACTATGGGAGCTGGATCAGGATTTCCACTAAAGAACTTTATAACAGATTACTGTGCTTAAGACCATTTCCCTTAAAGTAACTCACAGTTATGGGATACTTCTCTTGTTCTCCATCCCTTCAGTGCCCCCACACACACACACACTCACACACACAATGAATCAGAAGTGTCTTTCTGTATTCAGGTAGGCCAGAAACCTGTCCCCACCTGCCAACATCACACAGCCTCTGTAACCACAGCAGTCAATAATTGCAGTATGATAGGTGCTAATGCCAAATTCAGCTTTCAGTTGGCACAGAGTGGGTACATCCACCTTGTGCTCCTTTGTTGTTGGGAACAAGGTAGCAGGAGGAAAAGTAAGAACCAAATTAGCCCTTCCCACTGCCTGTGCCCCTATAGTCATTTAACCTGAAATCCCCAAATACCTCAGGCCCAACCTAGGAGACCTCCACAGGTCATTTGATCTGGCAACTCACCCCATGTCTTTCCCTGAGGACAAAGAATTCTCACTGAAGTTCTTTGTGTAGCAGGATTAACATGTGCTTATAGTTTACATTGTAAACAACAACAACCAAAAGGTAAATTAAATGTGCATTTTTATAGATGTGCTAATTCATTTATAAGTGTGGAAGATTAGACTAAGCTTCAAGAGGATATTCAGTGTTTAACAATAATGTTCAAGAAGATTCTGGAGGAAGCAGTCCCAACAATTATAAGAGAAACATCTGCACTTTGAGTGTGTCACAGCCCTCTCATTACACTGAGATATTTAAGAATTTTCAAATGCCACTTGTCATTAAAGGTACTCCCAACACAGCTGGAGTAGAGGGGCACTTCATTTTGGTGGACAGTAGTCACAGAGCTTTGTGGCACCCACTTTAATGCAAAGGGTTCATTGTTCTCTGAAGAAAAAAGGAAGACGGAAATGAAAAGCTCAGCTTTCCATCTTTTCTAGTTCGCCTCTTTAACCTGTGCACAGTTATAAAGCTAAGCCATTAAGGATAAAGTCCATCAGTAAAATGTCCATGTCTTCTACCAGAACTCTTCTCATGATGGTAGGACAGGGGAGGGTACATTCTCCAAAGAAAGTAATGTTACGGGAAATTTGAATGTGCTCAGTGATTCACTCCTGAAAACCAGCCTGGGTATGCTAGCAGATTTTGTTTGCATTTGTCTTGAGTATTTAAAGTCTCAGGAAATTTAGTCTTGATCCAAACACTGGGGAAAAATTAACACCAAACAACACATTTTCATAACTTGAAGAAGCAGCGTAGAATAGGCCTGACTGAGAAGCTGGAGAGAAAAGAAAAAACCTAAAGAATAAATTTTCCCCAAGAAGTGAAAACAAGATCTATTTATGGTAGACAGAGGGTCTGACAATAAACTGTGGGTTTATTGAGAGAATGGTTTTAACTTGAGGGTTCACATATGTGAGCAGCATAAACCAAGCACCACTGTAACCTGTCTCCAGATCCTCAGAGTTAGGGAGGAACAAAACAGGATGCTTTCCAATCCTTGGCCCTACCCAACCCCAAAGCACTAGAGATTCAGCAGTATTTATGAGGTAAGGAAAAGAGAACAATAAACTACTCCACAACATGCATGCCACTGTGTAGGTATTCAGAACTACATCTGTGTGAATCTATCTTCCACCATACCCATATATATGCAGCAATTACAAGGCGTAAAAAAATACTGTATGTGGAACTTGGTAATGCCAGTTAGGAGCTATAATCAGAGCCTTATTGCCACTTTTTGCTTATCTATACATTGAATGGCTCATAGATTTAAGAGGGTTTTTATTTTAATGTAGGTATTCCTACTAAATGCACTTACCTTTCTCTGTGTTTATATATTTTGATAAAATTGATTTATTAAATATTTAGTATTCTAGTAAGCTAAAATCTTCTCAAATGTTTGGTTAATGCTTTGGTGTGGAGACTGCACTTTTTTCCTTTTTTCTTTTTCTTTTTTTTTTTTTTTTTTTTTTTTTTTGTATTAGAGCTCAGAAGACATTTATGTAGCTTTGGGCATTTTCAACGGCAGACTACAGTTTTCTTGGCTAAAAGTTGCACTGTGTGTTCTTGTGCATTGGCTCACACTTCCAAAATGACATAATCAGTAGCTTTAGTTACTAACTACTGGCTCTCTGATGGCAGTGTTGCCCTCACATGACCATTTATTGACTTCTTGTGCCAAGTAATGGCATTTTGGTCATCTCGTGCTGATAATGGCATTTTGATTGTCACCAAAAATAATGCAGGTGGTTGTGAATATATATTGTTGGAAGGTGTACATGTCTGTTTCTTTCAGCTCTTTTATTCATACATCCAGGTTTTCTATTAAGGATGTGATCAGTCGACTGTTCATGAAAGAACAATTGGCCAGAGATAATTAAAAGTGGGAAGAAGCACTCCAGCTAGATGACACCTCCCAACAACATCAAACTGAGTTAGTACTTGGTGAAATTCCTTACATATATATGCAGATGCTTCCTTCATTATTATTTGATGTCACAACTACTGCTCTTGTATTTTTAATGGTGTTGCAGTCAAACCACTAATACACCTGCTACATATTACAAAACTGGGCAGCTGAAAAATGAAAGATAATAAAGTCTGTTCTCCTGTAAGAATTTGATTCATTTTCATCTTTCTTTATATATCAATAAGAAAAAGTTGTTTGAAAATAATTTTGAGTCCAGCAAGTGTGAGTAGCATGTTACCTGAAACTTTTAATTTGTACATTTTGATGTCTATTCATTTATTTGCATGGAAGAGACAATAGTGCCATGTCTGAATTGTTCTCTTGTGCTTGGTTAATATGTACTGTTTCAAATGACATTCCTTACTCTTTGGTTTTCAGAGGCATTCAAAACAAAATATAACAGTGGTCCTTTGTTTTCTGACCAACCTAAAAATACCTGTGTTAAATTTAATTTGTTAGTGTAAATAAATTTCTTGCCAATGAGTATTATTGTTGTTAAACAACGAATGCAATAAAAAGAAATACTGAGATCGGTCGCATAATTTTTTTCTTCTTCTTCCATTTTCACCTTCGACTAAAACAAGCCTTGACTGGGTAAACCTGTATTAACTGTCAAAACACATCTATCAATCAAGAGCAAAGTGCACATTTTTCATGGAAATGAAACTAAAAATAAGGTTTAACTCTGGTAAAGTGTAAATTGGCAGCTAGAATTACATTTGAAAGCCCAATTATGGAACTGGGCATAAAGTTAAAAGAGTGAAGCCTCCAGTCAAAGCTCCCTCGCCCATCTTCCTGTTCCCCTGTCACGGCTTCACCATCAAGGTTTCTGATACGTCTCAGCCATACAAAGGTCTGTGACAATCCATTAACCAGTCAGCCGCACACAGCAAGGAGCACACTAAGCAGGAATGAGCCTGTCCTACAGTACAGGGTGATTTTAAAGTTTACTTCCAAGACCAAGATTCAGGAAACTGGGCTGTAACAAATGAAGAATATTAAAGTCATTCTTTCTCATGCATATAACCTATGCAGAACTAAACCTTTGGCAATACAAATATTTAGATGTGGGCATCACAGAACAAATGAGAATTAGGCAGTTTTCCTCTTTCTATGAGTGTGTGTTAAACCCCTAACCAAGGGGTGTCCCTTTCTGAACTTGAATCTACGCTATGTGATGTTTGATAGGTTTTTTTTTTTTTTTGGCAGAATCTTCTTATTCCATCAATAATAAAAAAGAACAGAATATGGTTATTTTATTGAAGATGCATGGAGGCTAGGTAAGAGATTCTTTTTGAGGGAAATATGTGAGGTTTTTATTTATTTTTTTCCTAAGCATCACTTGTTGACTGTGACAAGCAGTACTTCCTGGGTTGTGAATAGATGGTATCATGAGTAATTGAGCACTCATAAGGCACTTGGTGTTATGCTCCCTGAAATGGTGGCCAAAATAATGTGAATCCTGATGAAAGTTTTTTTTTAATCAAAACAAAAATATTTTTTTATTAAATCAGAGGATCAATGGTTTCAAACTGTTGGCAATTCTCAACTTATTGGCAAAATATTTTTCCCAAAATGCTGGACCAAAATCACAACACCAACAATAGGACAAGTGCCTTAAAAATACTTTAAGTGACTGCCTTAATGTCCCAGAGAAAGAATCTGGCCTGAAAGTCCTATCTTCAAAACAGACAAATAAATGAGGTGTGTTAACCTTTTTATGTCGGCATTCACAACAAAATGATAAAGTCACGTTTTATTCCTAGCCATGTCCTTGAATGATGACAAAAAGTGGTGGTTGATCTTTCCTGATTTTTGTTTGTTTACCTTTTCCTTTTTTTTTTTTCTTTCTCAATTTCCATAGCAAGTCACAATAGGGAAAAATAACAACAACAACAATAAAAAATAAAAAATAAAAATAAAAAAACTTCTTCCACCACTGAATAGCAGTATTGACTTCGGGACACTTAACATTAGTTGAATCAATTACTACATTCTGTGCCCAGTCTTTGCAGTGAGCAAATTCCCTCCTTCTCCAGGGCAATGAAATCTAAAAGATACTATTGGTGCCAAGATAAAAGACACTCATAATTTTAAGGTGTGATTCCACTCCCCCAAATTTTAAGATTTTCCTACACGCCATTGCCACGGGAGAATTGAAGAATAAAAGGAGAACGCTACTAAAATTGGCCACTGTTTCCTGAGAAAGTCACATGCAGAGGGGAAAACGGGGCAACTCAGACGGTGCAGGTTCCCCAGCATGTTCTGGCACGTGACCTGGAACTAGAGTTGTGACATAGCTCATCCTGCTCTCTGGTTCTCTGAACATGAATTAGCGAAGCAGCAAGACACTTTCATGGAATCCGTTTTAGGGAAAGTTCCTAATGAGTAACATATAGTAAAATTAATTAAGACCTGACAATGGGTATAATAAATTTAGCCATTTTAATAATTTAATTATTATTAAATTATTATTTAGTAATAATTTTCCACTGGTAAATGAGATTTCCAAGTATTCCAAGACTAATTGGATTGTGTATTGTCAAAAGAACCTCACTCTCCAGATTTGCTCAGCCTCATGATATGCAACTGACATCAACGGAGATCGCTGCAGCCCCTTAGACTGTGGCAATTGGTGGAAATGATGGGCCTCCTCATTCCATGACTCTGGCAAGTCATCCTGTTAGAGTTTACAGTAAAGTGCTTTCTGATACACGGTGCCAATCAGCAGTTTCCCCTTGTACACGGAGGCTACTGAGCAGCCTTGCAACACTGTGCCATTTTCTGCATAAACCAGTTTCACTTTGGGTTCTTCTGTTAAGATGTTCTGGATTTGAAGCACCTATCAAAGAATTAACGTGAGCTTAACATTTTTTAAAAGTTATTTAAAACAACTCAAAGCATGGAGTCATTTCTCCATAAGAAACTATATTACCTCATAGAGTTACATATATTGTATTTTGTACCCAAATTACTCTATATTTATGATACCTGTTTCCGCATTTGTAAACTGTCAGTTTGGGATCATGTGATCTTTAACAAGGATAGTGAGCACACAGACCTACAGGGACTAGGCAAGAAATGTGAAAGAGAAGCATAGCCTGAGTGTGAGGTGTTAGGGAGAAGTAGAGACCATTACTCAGCAACAGCTGAATGGTTACCATGCTGGAATTCAGATATGTGTTTATATAGTTTTAGATGAGCTAGGAATTACCCTTAATTCCTGGCTTTTAAGTATAGGCAAGGGGCAGAGGATAATATGACACCCTCCCCACACCAAACCACCTTTCTGTACCACACTGAACCATTCTTCTGAACTTAAGGTCCAATCTCCAAATGTATAAGATTTTATAAGTTCAACTTCCTTCACTTAGTTAAGAAATTGCACCATCAGCACCACTGCGGTATTGTATTAGACTCACATGAAATACAAACATTTGATCATTCTTGCTGGCTGACAAAAATAGCAATTTTATATGATTTGATCTAATATGGAAAGCATTACATTGAAGGGGGAGACCTGGATCATGTCTTGGATCTTCTGCTTACCATTTGTTTCTCAACTATAGAAGGAGATGGGTGAGACTAGATTATTTCTAAGTTCCCTTTCAACTAAGATAAAGTACTATTACTTGAAGAAAGGATGTGCACACACAGAACACCAAATATGGCTGTCCAGGGAGGCCAGTGCCTGAATATGAAAGGATCAATGGGGGCATTCAAAATGACTCCTTTAGAATAGCTGGCACCAAAGACAGATGTCTTAGGAAATTGCCATAGTGTTTAAAATACAGTGTCAACTTCAAGGAAATGGTGGTGTACCCTGGCTTAACTCAGCTTCTTGTTAATAAGACTAAATTGCTTTTTGGTTGGGAAGAACATTAGATAATGGATTGTTATTACCTTTTGCTATTCCTCACCCGATCCATCATTAGAAAGGAAACACTTTTTTCCAGGACAAAAAACCACGTCCATGGTATAGCAAATGCCCCGAGTTCACCAAATGAGCTAACAAGCAAGAACATATTAGAATCTAACATTCTGCTAAGTTCTAAACAGTGAACACTCCCCGGCATACATTCCTTCAATTCTATGTAACACGCCATTCAGCAATCCTAATAGCTAAAAATGAGTAAAAGGCACAAAGGACTGACATTAACCATGATCAGAATTTCCTGTAAACCTAGAAAGAAAAGATAGGAAATTGGAAGTCCACTTTTTTTTAATGTTTATTTTTTAGTTTTACGTGGACACAATATCTTTATTTTATTTTTATGTGGTGCTGAGGATCAAATCCAGTGCCTCACGCATGCCAGGCGAGCGTGCTACCACTTGAGCCGCATCCCAAGCCCTGGAAGTCCACTTTTTTAAATACTTTTTTTAGTTGTCAATGATCTTTTGTTTTATTTATTTATTTATTTATATGTGATGGTGAGGATCAAACCCAGAGCCTCACTCATGCCAGGCAAGCGCTCTACCACTAAGCCACAACTCCAGCCCTGGAAATCCACTTTTGAGGTTTTTTTGTTTTCTTTAAATCCAGGGGATACAGTCATCTTTCCTTCCTTTTTTGGTTGGGAGACAGACTTTAACCTAAGCTTTTAAAACACTGTGGTAGATAAATGTCAAAAAACAATATCATGTATTCGATATAAATAATAATGACACTTAGCATATACTGAAAACTCAAAATAGAAAACACCAGGTAGGTGATAGTCAATGTCCAAATGCCTATGGTAAAGTGAGCTTCAGATTCTTATTATTTACACTGCAAAATAGTCTGCTAAATAAAGATCATGGACCAAAAAAAAAAAAAATGGAATCTTTCAGTATTATAACAAAAGTGGAAGAAGAGGACTTCTAAGCCAAAACAAATTCTAGCAAATGATTTATGTCCCTATCTTTAGGAAATATTCTGAGAGGATGGCTAATTATGGTTTTAGGACTGGGCCACTACATTGACTTGTATGTAAATAGCCCTCCATATCCCTGGATTCCATATCTGCACAAATCCAATCAGCTTCATATGAAAAATATTGGAAAAAAATAATGCGTCTGTACTGAACACATATAAACTTTTTTTCCTAACATAGCATGACTATTATATGGCATTTATATTGTATTAGCTAGGATAAGTGATCTAGAGTGATTTAAACTACATGGGAGGATGTGTACAGGTTCCATGAAAATATTTTTCAATTTTATATAAGGGATTGAGCCTCTGTGAATTTTGTAACCACAGGGTCCTGAAGCCAATCTGCCACAGAATTGAGAGAGACAGTTCTGACACCCAGGAAGGGGGAGTTGAACAGGAAGGCAGGTAACAAAGAGTTAAACCATTGTAGCGTGGCACGATTATGTTTTTAAAACGATTGAGAATTTCCAAGTTGGAGAAACTCATGACTGAAATAAAGATATGGACCCGTCCAATGCTGGGGCTCTTCAACCCAGCCCTACAGGCCACACCCCACTCTGCTCTGACTTGTACCAAGGCCTACTTTGAAGGAGACTCCTGTACTCTCAGCCTCAAAGCAG